AAATGGAATCATAAAATATATATATTTATATAGTGTTCAGCTTCCTTAACTTAGCACAATTTTTTCAAGGTTCATCCACTTTGTAGCATGTGTTGGCACTAATTTCTTTTAATTTATGAACAGTATCCCATTGCTTATTTGTTTATCCATTTTGTTTATCCATTCACCAGTGGATGAGCATTTAGACTATTTCTAGTTCTTGTGTATTATGAATAATAGTGCTATGAACATTTGCGTACATATCTTTGTGCAAATGTATTTTTGTTTCTCTGATACAGTCTTAGGAGTGGTATTTCTGAGTTGTAAGTTTATGTTTAATTTTTAAGAATCTGCCCAGAACATGTTCCAAAATAGCTGTATTATTTTACTTTCCCACTTTCAAGGCATAAAGTTTTCAACTTCTCATTTCCTTACCAATACTTCTTATTTTCTAGTTTTTTTAAATTACAGCTATCATGTAGGAGTCTAGTAGTATCTCATTGTGGTATTAATTTGCATTATTTAATGACTAGTTCTTTTAAACATCTTTCTGTGTGCTTTTGTTTTTGTCTTTTTGAGACAGGATCTCATTATGCAGTTCAGGCTGGCTTTGAGCTCACTTTGTAGCCCAGGCTGGCCTCAAACTTGCAATGATCCTCCTGCCTCAGCCTCCTGAGTGCTGAGATTATAGGCATGCACTACCATACCTGGCTCTATATGCTTATTAAACAGTCATATTAGGAAATATTTCTTAGGAAACAGAAAAAAACCTATTCAATTTTTTCTCTTTTAAATAATGTGGTGGTTTGTTAAGCACTTTCTATATACTGGTGATGTTATGTGCTGTCAGTGTATTCTGTATCTTTTTCGGGGGAGGTTTCTAGTACCGGGAATCAAACTCATGACCTTGCGCTTGCCAGGCAGGCACTGTGCCGCCGAGCTAAATCCCCAGCCCCTGTCCGTGTATTCTGGATGCAAGACCGTTACCAAATACATGATTTGAACACATTTCTCTCAGTCTCTCTTTTCATTCTCTTAGTGGTAAATGCATACACACTGTGGGAAGCTGTCTGGAAGTTTAAAAAGTGAAACAGAAATGCCATATGATCCAAAGATTCCACTTCTGGATACATATCCCCCAAAACTAGAAACAGAGACTTTTAGGAACTTGTATACCAATATTCATAACAGCATTTTTCACAACAGCCAAAAGGTGGTAAACAGACAGGTGTCCCTCAGCAGGTGAGTGGATAAACAAAATGTAGCATATCCACCAATGGAATGGTATTCACTCTTAAAAAGGAAATTCTAATGCCTGCTGCAACATGCATGAACCTTGGAAGGGCTCATTACACTAAATGAAATAAGCCCAACATAAAGGGACAAATACTGTATATGAGCTATCTAGAACAGGGAAACACAGAAAGCAAGGTAGAGATTGCTGGAGTTGAGGGAGAAGGGGGTGGGGGGCTATCATTTGATAGATACATTGTCTGATGACATGAAAGTGGAAATAAGGGTGGACAGGTATTTGCTTACATGTGTGAAACCCTACACTTCATCCTTAATACTGTGAAAAAGAAGTCCTGGAAATGGACAGTGGTGATGGTTACACAATAGTATGTTAACTTTTTTTTTTTTTTCCCCGGTACCGAGAATTGAACTCATGACCTTGCGCTTGCCAGGCAGGTGCTGTGCCACTGAGCTAAATCTCCAGTCCCTACACAATAGTATGAATGTACTTAATACCACGGAGCTGTACACTGAAAAACAGAATGATAAATTTTACTCATGTACATATTATCACAATGAAAACATTGTATTATGTGAAATAATATAATGCACAGATGTAGAGGAAGGGAGGAGGGTCAGCCAGTGTTCGGTCAGCCAGTACTAAGTTACAGTTAGATAGGACTGAAAAATTCTGGCAGGCTATGTACAGTGGAGTGATTGTAGATAACAATAATAACATACTCTATGTTTGAAAAAATGAGAAAATTTTAAATATTTTCCCTATGAAGAAATGATGTTTGATGAGGTAGCTACAGTTACCCTTACTTAAATATTACAGAACATATGCACGTACCATAATTTCTCATGGTAACCTGTAAATATATACAATTTTTATGTTTTTATTAATTAAAAACATTAATTTAAATTATAAAACACAGTATAGCTGTCAAAAATATTAAAATGTAAAAAGAGAATGAGTGAAGTGATATACAAGTTTAAGCAGTAATACATATCATCCCCAAGGATAAGATCAGAAACAGGCAGAGTCAGTTTCCTTCCTGGTTCCTATATCCTACTACCCACACCTGTACATTATTATAAATTTATTCCCCCTCTTCTTTACTCCCTCGCTTTCAAGCACTGCTATGGGATCATGGAGAGATGTAAAGTGGAAAATAAATGGAATGCACATAGCCTGGGAGAGGACTTGGGGGAGACCATGACAGCTGTGTTTAAATATTTAGAGGGCTGTCAGGTAAGGAAAAAGCAGGCTTATTCTGTGTGCTCCAGATGACAGAAATAGGATTTCATGGGAAGCAGATTTTTCTTGCCTTTACAAGAGAACGAGCATCTTAATAGAGTCTATAAATGGAATAGACTTCTTGGAATGCTGATCCTGGGCATGTTATAGAAGGGATCATGGCATGAGAAGGGAATTTGGATCAGGTGGTCTCTGTATGAACGTTCCAGCAAAAAGAAGAAGGAATTTCTGCTGGGATTTTGAGCAATATTTGATAAAGGCACTCTGCAGAGTTTTGTGCAAGACTGCGGGAGTCTACACGAAATGTTGAGGCAACTGAGAAGTAGCAAAAATGAGAAAGCCTTACTATCAGATCTGAAGGAGCGTGAAAGACATTGCTTTTCCAGGAGTGGAGCTGTAGGAGAGGGTCACACACACCTGGAGGACTCCCCTCAACAGGAACTGGTGATCATAGAGGGAGCAGCCGCTTCTGGTCAAGGTGCCAAGGCAAGCAGTCAGCAGGGCTTCCTGCCAGTCTCCCATCTCCTGCTTCCTTTTCTCCCTAGTAAGTCCAGGTGGAAACCCAAGGACACAGAGCTTAGATAATACTGTCTGTGGAGACAGACGACCTTCCTAAGGTTCTGAGTAGTGCAGAGAATCGTGTCCCCAAGATTGCTTCAATCTTGAAGATCTCTATAATTTGAAGCAGAGTGTCCCACTTCCAGCCACCAGCAGCCCAACTTGAAAAGAGCAAAGGCCTGAAGTTTATACTTGACACTCTGTGAATCATCTTGGGAAAATAAAGAGGTGTTTAGTTTATCTGGCAATATCCACATATGTCAGGGCAATGCCCTCGAAAGCTGAAATGTAGGAAAGAAACTATCAGTTGGTCAACATATATGTATTGAGCATCTAGTATATGGTAGGCACTATAGCAATGCTGTAGATTCATGGGTGAGTGGGGCAGATAGTCTTCTCTTTTTACATACTGGAAACAGGAGGAAATCAGTAAACACATAAGCAAATCCTTCAAGGTGCTACCATGTAACAAGTAAATTGGTTGAAATCATGAACTGTAATATTTGCTAGCTGTGGGACCTTCAACTCTTTCTCAGTTCCATACCTGTAGATGGGGATGAATGACTGCCTTCCCAGGAAGGATGTTTTTAAGGTATAGCTATTTAAATATGCAAAGCAGCCAGTACATGTGTAAAGCCTGGCAAGGGAAGGTGCTGTGTATGGACACTCACTGTCATTATCAAGCACTATTAAGTACTACTGGGTGATAAAGGAGATGATAAAGCAGAAACACGCAGAGAAGAGCAGATGTTGGGTATGAGCGTGAGAGAGCTGAGCGAGTGGGCTTGCGAACATCTGAGAAGGGACACAGGTCCTGGAGGGAGGGGAGAAGGCAGCCATCGGCACCCTCCTGAGGGCTGTCAGTCTTCAGGGACAGATCACGTGACAATACAGAATGTTCACTCTTAGGGCCTGTTGCAGTAGGGGATTCTAGTCTTTTGTGATTATTTAAATGCAAACAATAAGTATCTAAAAGCTCAAGCTCTGGAATCAGGCTGACTGAAGTTCAAATCCTAGCTCTGCCATTAACTATTTTCTGGCCTTGTTGATAATCAGTTTCTTCTTTTGGAGATGGAAATAATCATACTTGCCTCACATATGAGATGTTCTATGAGAGATATACTGAAATGAGATTCTGTAGTAGTTGCTTAGCAAAATGCCTAGATCATTGTAAGGCACCAAACGTGTTGTCACTGTGGCTTACTGCTGTTGTAGAATGAGAGGAAGTGCACCTGTGCCTGACCTCAAAAAGGTGAGTACAGAAACATGCTGATGTGTTTTGCTTTAGTTGCTCCCCATGATATCAAGGTTCATTAAGCCTTTGACTTTTTTCTGTTCTCTCTGAATCACCTGATGTACCACCACCGAATCAGAGTATCTGCTGGTGTCCTGCATGAGCAGTGCATAGAGAGATCTCCCAATGCTTGCTGAGACGTCAACATATTTTGATGGTAACATTCAGAATTTGAACTGTGTTTATGTTTGAATTACTATTTTGATGTTTCAAGTTTACAAACAACACTAGTGAAATAGATTGTGCTAATGAAAATAAATTAGAAAACTGGTGCTTAAAGATACAATTTTTTTCCTAGCAAACTCCTTTCTGGCTTAGTTTATTCTCTGAATGTGTTCTGATTTTAAAAGTAAATGTATTTTGATGACAACTTCTAATTTCTGCCCTGGTTGTTTCTAAACTCAGTGATGAAAAGAGAGTAAGAAAATTGAGAAAACCTTTTTTGCAAATGCTTATAAAATACAAATTAATGTAAGAATGCTAAAGTTTTCTTTTTGTTTTTAAATAACAAGCTTTGTTTCCCACCAGGAACAGTAAGCTGCTATATTCCTAGGAAATGGTTTGTGATAAAGTATATTAGACAGATCTTTACTTTTACTCTCTCTGTTATTACACCAAGATGCTCATTAATTTCTTTTGTTTGTTTGTTTGTTTTTGTTTTTCTTCTGGTACCAGGAATCGAACTCACGACCTTGCACTTGCCAGGTAGGTGCTTTGCCACTGAGCTAAATCCCCAGCCCCAGATGCTCATTAATTTTAAATACGGGCAAAAAATTCTTTCTTAGCTACTTTTTTTTTGTCACTGAGACAATACTCAATACCTGTACTTTAAAGGAGGAGAAGCTCATTTTGGCTCAAAGTTTGTAGAGGTTTCAGTCCATAGTTAGCTGGTTTCAGGGCAGACACAGCGTGGAAGGACCTGGGTGGAGAGAAGCTGCTCACAGTACAGTGGACAGGAAGCAGAGTCAGAGGAAGATCCCGGAAGGGAGACATGAACCCTCTGAGTCATGCCCACAGTGATCTGCCTCTTCCAGCTCCCACCTGGAACAGCCGGTCAGCTGTAATGGCCCTATAATCCATCACCTTCAAAAGTCCCATCTGAGTGTAAGAGGCTTGGGGGGACATCTACATATAAAAACAGACTCATTTAGTCGTTATGGGGAAAGACTTTCAAGTGGAAGTTTTATTGCTTCAAACACAGCACTATCTTTATTGTGAATGAAAACCTAACTAGGAATAAAGTGCTTCAAAATCCCTGCTGAAATCAGGCATATGTTACCATTGAAGAGCGCCACAAACAAAATAGAACTCTAACATATGAACATGAGTTGTGGAATTCAGAAGTTGAAAACACATCTAAGGACTTCATAACTTTATCAAGCTTGGGCTGAGCAGTGTTACTGATTTCAGACAGGCTGAAGTTTACTTTTAGGAAAGTCCAAGAAAATGAAGAGAAATTGTTTTGGAGTTTTCATTCTCTAGGCATTTAGTGGCAAAATTCCTACAACTACCAAAACAGTAGAAAATGAATTAATGACGTTTGGCAATATAGAAACAACCTATATGTTTTTCCTTTTCGCCTCTGGAAATTACTAGTTTAGCACTTAGGTCCTTGTTAATCTATTCTATTTTAGAGTTTAAACAATGGAATATGTGAAAGAAAATCTTGCCACTATATTTAGTTGTCCTTTTTCCTCCTTTCTCCTTCCCCTCCTTTGGGGGAAAAATTCCCTCTTTGTAATTCAAGAGAAGTTTCTAATTCATCTTGAGAGCCCCTGTGTATCATGAAATGCAGCATTTCTTAAGCAAATCGTTTGCGTAGCATCCCTACCAGTGTGGCGGAAGGATTCCCATCCAGGGAACTTCAGCTGTCATATATCTCTTTCACAAACTTAATGAGCCTTGTTCCTTCCTCAAGGACAATTCCCTGCTTGATGTTTCTGCTTTCAATATGTGTGACTTCTTGTCTGAATCCCCCATGCTGCGTTCTTGTGTTCTCTTTCCCCAAAGGTCATGTCCTACACCGCATCCCCACTGTGCTGGCTCAGCAGGAGCACAGGGTGACCATTTTTGTCCATCATTATTTGCCTAAACCTAGAGAAAATAAGAACATTATTGATTTCACCCTAAGGTTTTCCCTACAACGTTGTCATCGTATATACAGACGACAGAGTAATTGTTTGTCTTTGCTCGCTAGGCATGCGTACGAGGTGAGGATGGATTCTCTGCTTTATCAGTTTTGGCAGGACACTATTGAATAGCGAACACGGTGCAGAGAATGGCTGATTCAGTCTTCTTATTTTTTCCATGGGCCACAACAAGACTGTTTCAAGTAAGTACAAGATCAAGGATCCCCTAGACCTCTTTTATTGTGTGTAACTTTTGTGAATTTCCGTACAGCTCCAGAAGTACCAAGCCCTCTTTTAAAAATTAAATTAAATTAACTAAAAAGAGAAAATAAACGAGACTGCATTTTCTGGAGTTTCCTCAGAGGCTTTTTATCTGCTTAAACTAACCAGGGATTTTTCACTTATTGACATAAGCATTCATTTGCTAATTTGTCGGACATTAAACCGCATGGAGCCTTCCCCAGAATCCTGAATGAAGCTGCAATGCTCGGTCTGCAGGGCTGCCCAGGTCCTGCGTCACTCCCTGCACACATACTGGTTTTCCTCCTCCCTCTCCTTAGATAAAAGTCAGTGCTGATCGCCTTAAAGAAAGAATGAGTTAAATGGACCAATATTCTAGGCCTGGATCTAAAAAACCCGGCCTTTTCAGAGCCCCTTTAGCACCTGCAGCAGCAAAGTCATTTGCACATACATAAATAAATAAATTAACAATGAATAAATAATTTAATCCCAGCCACATAATGCCACCTTGCAGCTCTGATCCTTTGCAGGGCCCAGTGAATTTGTTCATTTCTAATTCTTTTTGATAAAGTCCTCAGATACTTGCTGACTGTCAGCTCATTTTCTTATTGTTTTCGCTTGATTAGCTCTGTATGACCTAAGGTCGGCCTTAAAATCCACATCTCTTCTGAAGACTCCGAAAGGCCTTCCTTTTAGCACCCCCAGGAAAGGAGGGTAAGTCCTCGCCAACGTTCCACACAAAAGTGTAGAAGGTTTTTAGCCCCCGGCCTCCTATAGCAGTGCTTCATTCATCCAAGCGCAAAAATAACTCATTAAGGGTTTGCCTTGTTTTCATAGCCTCTCTGTCCAGTGCACTTGGGTGTGCCTGTGTCAGGTCTGCTGGGACTTGGAGGTTCAGGGCCACCTCCCCTTTGACCCTGCTGGGCAGCCCTGTCAGCAATGGCACCGGCTCAGGCACCTGCCCACCCACCCTGAGTGCTTGTGGCTGTTTATTCCGTGGTTTTCAGCTAGACGCTGGCCTTCCTGGGGAGGAGGGCCGAGTTTTCTCCGTCTGCAAAGCTGTCCAGGAAATGCCTGCCAGTCTCTCATTTTTCGTCTGCACATCCGCTATAGGCTGTGGGTCCAATGGCGGAATCCTAATTCCTGAGGCCAAGTGACCCTCAGGCGTGGCTGGATCTTTCACGCTGTGTACCCGAGGCCTCCACACACTATATTCCTGTTCACTCCTGTTCATTCTCTTCCCCATCAAGATTCAACCCTAATTAATGGGAACCAAATTCCTTACTTCTGCTTCTGTTGCAGTATTCACCAAGACTGTTTAACCAGTTTCAGTATCTTTCAACAGTTCTCATAACATTTTCCATGATTTCTCACTGTCAAGGCTTTTGGATTTTCAAGTTTTTCTTTGTAATATTCTCTCCTTTTGTCCTCTGGACCGTCACAAAAACCTTGCTATATTACATAGGGTCGTTTATTTGCTACTTTTTCACAGCAGTGAAGATTTTGAGCACGCAGTGAAGACGTTAATGAAGACGGTAGTACATACGAAGGTTTGAAAAAGTTGGCCCCACTGCCCATGTGAAAATCTATGCAACCCAGTTTTTAAATCTTAGTGTATATTTCCTTTGGTGTGATGAAATTTTAAGAATGGATTTGATATATTTTGGTGTCTTTCAGCAATTTGCCAGAAAGACAAATTATTTAGACTGAGTTGGCAATACCCTCCAAAATTCTGGTTCCATCATTAGAAGTTTAAAAAACTCAGTAGCCCTGGATAAAGTCAAGATGTTCTTGTCAGTGGAACACTTTGGCTCAGAAAGCTCTAGAAGAACACCCTGAGGAGCACGGTACACAAGCTGAACTCTACCCACAGGGGCACACTGTGTGCCGAGGACATTCCAGGTCAAGCACACCGTTCCTGCAGCAGGCACCCAAAGGCATGAATTTACATCAGTCTATGGCATTTCTGAGCCATTAAAAAAATACCTCAAAATAAACTTTCAATCTACAAAAGATTGACCATGTTGGGACAGTAAGACGAAAGAGAAAAGGTAACTCAAAGCACCTGCATTACCGGTTTGTGTCTAGTGTTTCTGTTTGCTGATCTTGATGCTGGGTACCCTATGGGGCACCTGGGACCCTGGCACAATCAAAATGTTAGGGAGGAAGAGAAAGCGCTTTAGATAAGATTGCACTTCTCAGAGGGAGTGACCTTGTTTACATGTGGAATCTCCTTTGGGTGCTATGAGCTTTGTGAAGAGCAATTTAGGAAAAAGCAGAAATGCCTGTCCTCTCTGCAGGAGGGCTACAGCGGAGAGCCCCAAAAGTGCTAAAGCTGCCACAAATGCAGCACACACCAAATCATGCTAGCAATTCTAGCTTTCTTTTTGAAAATTATGAAATATTTCAAATCCATAGAAAAATACAGAGAAGGGCATGGCAGACACTCAGTCATCTACCACCAGATTCAGTGATGTGGGCCATTTGCCTCATTTGCATGAGCTTTTTTCTTCTTAAGAAACCAGATTTTACAGATGCAAGGAAAACCCCTTTGTCCCATTCCCTGATCATGTACCGTTCTGTAACTCCTCCAGATCACTCCTGAGATAGCAGTAGTTCTTAAGGGATTTTCCTTCTTATCTCCTAATTTACTTAATAGAATGGATGTGTAATACCAGTTCTGTAAGGATATGGTACCTTCACACACACTCATACACATGTATATACACATAGAACAAACAGGGAAGAATGTACCAGGACAGGTTAGCTGTTGATTTATTAAATGTGGAATTTTTCTTCTTTGTACTTATATGCATTTTCTGTGTGTGCTTATCATATATTTAATAATGGTGAAGAATGGTAAAGAAATAATGATTAAATAATGACAAAAATGTAATTAAATACATCTTTTATTATTTTCAAAACTAGAAATGCTATATTGCAATGAAAAAGTATGCTCTGGCTGTGACTGTACCTGACCATGTGGTTCAAGAGCTTTTAAAAATGGCTTATAAAAACAGTTTAAAAAGGTTCAAAGATGTTGCCTGAAAAAAGGCACTAAAACCCCTTTGGCTGTTCTGTATGGGAGATTCTGTTCAGAGCTCTAAAGGCCAAAAGGCTGACAAAAATCCTGCCAGTAAAGACTGAGTATGGGAGGTTTCTGCTGAAAAAAAGGACTGCATTGATTGTTAGAGTCCAGGTGTATGTTACAGCTTGGCAAAAAGTTTGCCTGCATTTTGCTTGTGTCCAGAGACTTTGCCTGAGACTGAGATTAAGGGTGGTGGACTGATTAATCTGGCAAAAAAAATTTCCAGGCAGTCAAATGTTGGGACAGTGGCATGGCTATTGTTGGGGGCTTTTAGCCAGATTTATGTTAAAAATCAAGAGCAAAGAGCCCAGCAGGATGATTTAAAAATGTTGTGAGCTTGGCTGAAAGAAAAGCTCCAGTACAGCTGTATACTACAAAAATAAAACTGAGGAAATCTCCATTGCTAAAAAGAAACAAAAATACAAAAAAGATGGCCTGAGGGCATCAAAAAAAGTAGCTTCAAAACTGCAAAGGTAAAAGACTTTGCTTTAAAAAAAAAAAAAGTCACAGAGTGCCATGTTTCAAAATGGCAGCGGTGGCCACACCAGGTTTTAAAATTGAGGCAGCACAAAAATTTGTTCCTCAAAATCAGGTTCAGAGTGCTCAGCAATCCAGGCACTCAACCCCTAAGGCAAAAAAAAAAAAAAAAGCTTGGCTACTACTCCAGGTGACAGCAAACTTTGGCATCATCCACGTGACACTGGTTTTAGGCACATACAAAATACAAGAGTTCCAAGGTTAAAAAGATTTCCACCTAGATTTCAAAAGGCCTGAGAGGCCAGGCAGTGTGCCCCTGAGAAGACAATATATAAAGCTATAGCTGGGCATGGTGGCGCACGTCTGTAGTCCCAGCACTCGGGAGGCTGAGGCAGGAGGATCGTCCCAAGTTCGAGACCAGCCTGCGCTACAAAGTGAGCTCAAGGCCACATGAACTGCATAGCGAGACTCTGTCTCAAAAAGACAAAAAAAAAAAAAAAAAAAAAAAAAAAAATATGCTATAAGTAAAAAGCCAGAGGTTTAGTAAAAACCTCAAAAGTTTTAAAAAGTCAAAAACATAGATTATCTACAAAAAAGCTTCAAAGACAGAGCAAAGCAGGCCTTAAAAAAACTCCATAAAAGCTGTAACCACCAAAACTGCCATAGGGGTAGAGTCACTCAAGCCCTTTACAGCTCACAATGTGCCATAAATTGCTTCAGATGCTAGATATAAAATTACAGGATTTAATGTTTGCCCTGCTGGATTTTGGACTTGCTTTGGTCCCATTCCTTCATATTCCCCTGTTTATAAATTTAAAAATAAAAGTGCTTATTTTGTGCCATTAAATATTAAAAGTATTTAACTTTTCATTTGTATGGGGGCTTGCAGCTGAGAGTTTGCCTTACATCTAAAAAGAAACTTGGGACTTGGACTTTTCAGCAATACTAAAACTGTTAGGACTTTGACAACTCTTGCAGATGGACTAAATGCTGTTTGTAGAAAGGGATGTGCATGAGTCTTTGAGGGGTTAATAGTAAAATTTTATGATTTGTCCCCCAAATCTTCACGCAGTCATGGAATGGGCTTCTAGATCTTTGACTGATCCACAGTCCAATGCTGGATTATGGTGTAAGTGCTACACCTGCCCTGGGGCAGATAGTTTGCATACAATATAAGGGAGAAAGAGAGCCTTGCTGTCTGCCACTCCTCCCTTTTTGCTATTGTTGCTTTTATTGTTTTGTGCTGTGATAAACAGTTGCCCTCTGCCATGTGCCACTCTGCCTCAGAGCCTGCCAAGTATAGACTGAAACCTCCACAAACTGTGAGCTAAATAAACCTTTCCTTCCTTCATTCTAGGTGTCAAGTATTTTGTCTCAACAGCAACAAAAAAATAACCAAGACACATATATTTAATAATGGTGAGGAATGAAAAAGCAATAATGATTAAATAATGACAAAAATGTAATTAAACACGTTTTACTTTTTTCAAAAATAGAAATGCTCTGTTGCAATGAAAAAGTATGCTCAGGTTTTTTTCTAACAACCATGACTGTGGGAGCAGAAACCTACTGTACAAATCATTCAGCTCTTACTCTTAACTTCATCATAGCTTCCTCATTCAAAAGGCAAAAATCAGTAGGGGAACAATCAAGTGTGGTACAAGTCAACAAACAGATGTTACACTAATTCCTAAGAGATGAACATCCTAGATGTTGAGGCTCCATAAGCTTTTCATACTAGCAAATGACTGGAGTGGCTAACATGCATTTAATGGTGAAGAGGAACACCCCACCCTCACCCCTCCCTTGGTCCGCATGCCTGTGTGTGGCACCAGAGCGTGTGACTGCACACAGCAGGGCTGATGTCCACCTCTTCCCCACTCCTTTCATTTCATTCCTGGTTCTTCAGAAATGGCCCATTGCGTTTTTGTGTCGTACAGTGCAATCTAGATCTGAGGCTTAAGATCTGTGGGAAGCAGGTGGAACCAATCTCAGGATCTGTTTGGTTCTACAGTTTACACACATCAAACTTTGTGAAAGAAGATCCTTCAAGTCCAGTACAGCTCACACAAGCTCTGCTCTAGTGGTTAGGGTCAAACTGTTCACGTGGTAGAAGTGTTTGCTTGCAGTATGGCATCATCTTTGCTCACGACTCCTCCCAAATCTCTTGGAAATGGATCTAAAGGATTAGGCTGCTCCTTATTTCTCATGTCATTTCTTAACCACACCCCAACATCTGAACATTTGTCATAGACAGTGAACACCTGGTTAGATTTCACTTACTTTAAAATTTTGTAACTCATGAGAAGGAATGTTTTATCTATTATAGCAAGCAATAAAAGTCCTTGTCCACGGGAACAGAGTGAAAGGCAGTGACTCCACCTGTCCCTCCAAAGGGTAATGGTGGGATAAAGTCCTTGCTTCCTCAGTGGCTAACAACTTGGTCTGAACTTACAAATCCACTTCAGAACCTCATTTCCACAGTGACAAGGGAACAGAGAGCATGCTCTTGGACCATGATGGACTTTGGATCTTGAATGTCTCCCAAAGGCCATGTGCTCAAGGCTTGGTCCACAGTGGTGCTATGGGGAGGTGGTAGAACATTTAGGAGGGAAGGCACTGTGGGAGGAAGTGAAATCATTGGTAACATGATCTTAAAGGGGATATTGGGACCCCCAGTCCCCTCCGGTCTTTCTCTTCCTAGCCACCAAGAAGTGAGCACCTTCCTTTGCTATGTGCTCCTATTATAAGAGCATTGCCTTACCACAGGCCCCAAAATAATGTAACCAACCAAACATGGACTGGAACTTCCAAAATTGTGATTCAAAAGAAATCTTTCATCTTTCTAAGCTGGCATTACAGGTATCTGTTGTAGATAGTAGCAGAAAACTAACACACACCAGCAACCTGCTTGACCAGGAGAGGATCATGCTGTATAGGGTTCTTACTGTGTGTGAAACTAGTCAACAATGAGAGAAGTGTAGCTGGGATACCATGGGGTTTGTTACTCAGCTGATGGTTGGTGTATTCAATGTCAAAGACTTTTAGCACGTGAGAAGAGCTGGAAAGAGGCCATGTTGATCAGCTATTGCACGAGTTCCTGAACTGCTTGGTAAAAGAGAGCTAGTGATCCAGTGAGGGTGGGCTTTACCAAACTTGTAACTTTAAACTTGTTCCTTCCTGTGAGTCTACTACCTTCTTGTATTAAGTCCTTGTTTATGGACATTTCAAATTCCATCAGCTCTCCCTTTGAAGGATTTAGCCACATTAGTGTTATCTATACAGCTCTAAAATTAAATAGCAATTTAGACACTTTAAGCAAGCACACCCTTTATGTTTCATGAAATTTAGCAGACCCTCTGGAGGTGAACACTTGTTGTCTGCATCCTAGAGTGCTAGATCTTTTTTTTTTTTTTTTTTTTGTATTTTTGTTGTTGTTTTTTTTTTGTTTTTTCTTCCAGTACCGGGAATCGAACTCACGACGTTGCACTTGCCAGGCAGGCGCTGTGCCGCTGAGCTAAATCCCCAGCCCCTAGAGTGCTAGATCTTAAAAGAGACCTAACTGTCAAATAATGTCAACTCATTATTTTACTAGAGAGGAGATCAAGTCCCAGAAAGAGGATGTGACACTTATCTCTACTAATTTTCATATTTAGTTGAATAAACTCTGTAGAAAAAGAAACATCCTTTTTTCTGTTTGGCATATTAATATAAAATTCATCCTATAGCTAATGTTGACTTACTATGGTTTGTCTATGATCACTATCATTTGGAGTTTCTAGTTATTTCTAATATTTTCTGTAACCTAAATAAAAATTGACATCTACTTCTGAGATTTCTCTTATTAAAATTGAACTAAATCAGTTTCTAGAAAATAAACAACATTTTTTTCTTTTTTTATTCCAACAGTTATTTAGGGCAATTAAAATATCTGGTTTCCAAACACTATCAGTCAGTGGAAAAGAATTTGAAGATGTGGATGAAATGAATTCAGATACATTACAGATGAAAATATGAATGCCCTTTAAAGAGGTAAGAAACATTATTTTAAAGAGGAGTTTGTTCCTAAGATCATGCCTTTGCACTGTCCTTCCCATAGCTTCATTTCCTTTTTAAATGCACTCTTTACCAAGGAATAAATCACAGTGCAGCTTACAGAAACGCATAGATCACCTCTTAAAGAAAAAGTCATCACTCATAATTATGGATAAATCATGCATATATTCTTTTGAGAAAAGTTATGGAAAAACTTACTTTATTATGTAGACTCCCTTTTGTGTAAGACCTTGGGATAAGAGTTAAGACATAGAAAACTCAGTGGCATAAAACTGATCTAGAAGTCATACATTTATTCTAGTTCTTTTCACCATTTGATTTCTCAATGTTCTGATATAATTATAACTCACAATATTTTTTCAAAGCTTCAAATATTCATACTGAAATGGCAAGAGGAGAGATCTGTTTCTACGGGAAACACTAATCACAAACCAAGACAAAGCTTTGAACTTCATGGAGTCTGTAAGACATTTTGGCCACTCACTAAAAATCTGCCTGTTTTCCCAAAGTCAAAATCCCCCTCTTCCCCTGAAGAGGTAACAACTTTAAGGTGCATTCCAAGACACTCGGCTGTGATTCTGATATCGAATATCAGCAAAGGAAGACCCTTCTCCCCCAGCCCAGCCCAGAGAGCAATGTAAGCAGCCTACTTCATTCGGAGACTCATCAAGGACTTCACCGCTTAGTTTACTCTTAGGTCTCAGAATCGGAGATGTTGATGATTTGTTAATGCTGCACATTGATTCCTATGTCACAGGTCAAGGTTCATAGCCCAAAGTAACAAGGAGTCCTCATGTTGCTTGTGACCTCTCCCAGATAGACAGAACTTTGTGTTTGTCTCCTTCATACTACCCTGTCCTCACAGAGTGTGACTCCTTATCCTACCCCTAAAACTCAGGACATGGCGCCTGGCTTCCTTAACAATTTCCAATGAGTAAGCGTTCTGTGTATTTATCAGCTATTCTGTAGTTTATAGCTGAAATTTTCTACACTATTTCAGTTGTTCCCCAGAGAAAATCACTACTTTTAAAACGTGTTTAGAAAACTTTAGCACAATACTTTATAAAATACCTGTCTAGTTCCCTAGTCTTGACGCATGAAAAAGATGTTCAAGAACTGAGAGCAGTGAGGGTCTTAGGCACCCAATACCCTGGGTTGCTGGAGCAGTTCGGAGCATGTGAGAGGTAGGCATGTAGATATGGGCTGTCCATTTTTTATCAGTCCGTTATTATGACATTAATTTTGGCAATTTTCACCACTCATGAGATTTTAAAATTTTCTCTGCTTCCTTTGAATTTCTCTTTTGTACTGTTGAAGCTGTACTGTACTTCATGCAATGTTGTTTTGGGGACGGTGCTGGAGGGGAGGGTGACCAATAAAAGCTGCGCACAAAATTCATGAGCTCCCCCTGCTGTTGTACAGCGGACAATACAAGCTCCTGCAATTTTCATTTCCAGAAGCACCCAAGTAAAGCAATTGATTCCTTTGTGGGTTTGCTTGACCTAACATTTTTAAAAAATGCTAGCTTATTTATTTATTTATTTAACTGTGCAGAAGATTGAATATAGGACTTTCAACACATTAGGTAAGTATTCTACTGCTGTTATAGCCCAGCCCTGCTGGATCTCAGAGGCAGATTAATACTAATTTCCTTCTGAAAGTTTACAAAGTCACAATTTTATTTGGGCCATCACTTAAGCTAAGGCAAGGGGATTGCTGCTGTGATTTAAGAAGCAGGTCTGTACCATTATTTATTTATTTATTTATCTATTGTCTTTTGAGACAGGGTTTCACTTTTCAGTTTGGGCTGGACTTGAATTCACTTTGTAGCCCAGTCTGGCCTCGAACTCACAGCGATCCTCCTGTCTCGGCCTCCGAGTGTTGGGATTACAGCTGTGTGCTACCACACCCAGCTATACTATTATTGAAACACTGCCAGTGAAGAGTAAAGAAATACATCATGAAGTCATATTGGATCTGAAAAGGAAGGGCTGAAATCTGGAAGATGAAGTTTTATTTATTTTATTCTTAGTCTAGCTCTGTAAAAAAGTAATATGCTTTAAAAATTACACCTGTGGTATAGTTTTTGTTGTTTTTATTTTCCCTAAATGTCTTAAAACTACATGTGGGTTAATTTAAATTCATATTCTTTAACTTAGTGTGAATTTTCAATAAGATAATTAAATGTCACACAAAAACACCCTTTCTTAGTCAATATTTCTCACATAAATTTATAAATTAATAGGTTACCATGTTATGCCAGGCATTAAAGACATTGGAAGATACACATCAATATACAGAGGTATAGACTGGGATACAGCGAGTCCCCAGTTTGTGACCATTCCAGCTGCAAACTTTTACAGGTACCAACAGAGCTCACATTACCAACATTCACAGGTGTGAATAAATCCCAAATAATGTGTCCTAATCTCTCTCTGCTACGTTAAAGCAACACAACACATCTTCAAGGCTCACCTACGTGATAACATGTGTCAGAGTGTCCTCATTGCTCCTTGTCACAGTTGAGCTGCTGCGAGCTTACTGTACCCTGCGATAGTGGACAGTAGCATAGTACTGCATTTTTGTGTGTGTGGACTTTTTATGCTTTACACTGTATATTTGTGTCAAAGGTGCACACGACTCACTTTGTTGGGCTTATTGACGAATTTGACTTAGAAACATTCTCCCTGAACAGTAGTCTTTGGAAAGCCTGGGACTTACTGAACCTACCTGCCAATCACCAGCCCTAATTTAGATACTGGAGGTGCAGTAGTAACTAAAACAAAGGTTTCTCCCTCTGGGTATCGTATAGTCTACTGTATCAGACATTTTTGAAATAAAACATATAATTAAAATTATGAGTGATTTTTTATATATAATACCAAAAGCACAAGCAATAAAAAGAAAATAGAAAAATTGGACTCAAAATTTAAAACTTTTGCACATCAAAGGACACAATTGACAGAGTGAACAAAAACATCCAGAGAATCAGAGAAAAATATCTGTAAGTCATATATCTGACAAAGGGCTAATACCAAGAGTATATGAAGAACCCTTATAATTTAACAATAAAAAACTAACAACTTAATTTAAAAAGAAAACACTAGAAACAAATAGAGATTTCTATAAAGATCTACAAATTGTCGATAAACATATGAAAAATGTTCAGCATTAACTGAAAATTTGATTTGTTTTAGGGAAAGTCAAGTGGAATAAAATACCTCTTCACACACATTAGGATAGTTATTATTTTTTAAAATACCAAAATAGAGTTTCACTAGACAAGATGGTAGGAATTCGCCTTGGTAGTTCCGTTGCATGTGGTTGCCTTCAAGTCAGTTGTTCAGATTACCAGATATAAGCATACAGAATTGGTCAGAACATAAAAAATTTTAAGCATTAAGTTTATGTTTGTGATGCTGGTAGGCTATTTTTTTGTTTGTTTGTTTGTTTACTACTCTCTTTAAAATAAAATTAAAAAAATAAAAAATCTCAAAGTAATTGTTGAGGATGCAAAAAAATTAGAATCCTTGTACTTTTCTGGTCTGAATGTAAAATTGTGCCACCCCTGTGGAAACTAGCATGGGGGTTCCTCAAAAAAAGTTAAACATAGAATTACCATATGATCCAATAATTCCTCTTCTGGGTGCATACCCAAGAAAATTGAAAGGAGGAATTCAATTATCTGTACACCCATATGCACAGCAGCACATTATTCACAATAACCTGCAGGTGGAAACAATCCATGTACTCATCCACAAATGAACAGGTAAACCAAATGTGCTATATATACACAATGGAATAGTATTCACCCTTAATAAGAAAGGAAACTGACATGTTACCACATAGGTGAGACTTGAAGATGTTGTGTTATTTTAATGTAGCAATGAGAGATTAGAACACAATTTAAATTCCATTGATAAAACCCTCTCAAACTGCAGTGTGGAAAATACATTCTGAAAATCCAAAGCTGGCATCCCAGGACACCAAGTAGGCAAACAGTGGCTTGAACAGTGGGACTATCAGAGGACATGGAGAAAGGTGGAAAGATTTAAGACCTTGGTGATGGACTGTGTGTGTACAGCTGAGACAAAGACAGGGCAGTGCCAAGGATGAGTGCCCCTTCGCACCAGGGACAAAGTGTGAAGGGTGGTGGGTCATTGCTGTGTGAGACACGAGTGGCTGCTTCTCTCGCTTTGCTCTGAAGATTAGCATCTGTTATTTCACCTCAAGAAAACTGAATTGACATTGTATCTTTAATTATTCAAATTAAAAGACCGGTGCTGTGTCAACTTAAATTATTAGAATGGCCTGTCTAAGCTATTCCTACTTGATCAAATTTAAGTCTGATCAACTGAAACGCAGAATATGGTGATGATGCAGACAGTAATGACTGTGTTGTTTTGAAAGCTTCTGGGCCTAAAGCAGAGTCAGAAGACAGAAGTTGATATAAAGCTGCATGTCGGAGTTTTAAATGAGATTACTGGACTAGTTTAAACTTGCAAGTCAACTTTTTTGCCTTCATTGTTATTAAAAGTAAAAAATGCGGAAGAGCTTGTGTATTTATCTGCATAAAGAAGAAGAAAATCTCCCCCATCTGTGAAGCGCTATAGATATAGGGTCAATGAATGGACTGAACATGAAACACCTGCCTCAGTGGGCCCAAGAAGCTTCTGCCTGGAGCAACGAGGCCACACAGCCACTTCTCTCCTTGTCAGAGGACTGGTTAATGGGGAGCACTCTTAGAGGAAAAATCAGAGCCCGAGGGGCCGGACAGCGAGCTTATCCAGATTGTGACTGAAACAGAGTGTACTGGAGAGCACACACAAAGCCAGCATCAACTCTGAGAGGCAGAGGTGGAAAGAAGATTTATGAATAACTCATTCCAGCTGTTATTGTTTGTATTTATTTTGCCAAAGGAATTGAACCTGAGTCTATTTTAGTCTCTGGATTAAGATGCAGAAAATAAAGAAGACAGAAAGTGTAAAGCTGTCCTATGACTTCATCACCTGCAAAATCCAGCCTCTAAAATGCTGTGGGCCAGACAGCCTTCATTTTCCAAAAGGGAAATTGTAAAGAAATGAAAGAGGTGGATAATCATATAATCACTATATGATTAAAAGACTTCTAAAAAATATGTAAAATGTTTCAAAATGAGCAAGACCAAAACTGAACTATAGTATTCAGTGGTACATTTGGTGCTAAAACTATTGTTAAAAACTGAATAAAGTGATTAGTATAAAGATCAAGACCATAATTACTTAGTTGGGGAGGAAAAGCTCTGGTTGGGATGATCCTGCGAGGAAGTGGTATCTATTTCTTGACCTGGGAGGTGGTTATGAGAATGTTCACCTTAGAGGGGCTGGGGATTTAGCTCAGCGGCAAAAGCGCCTACTTGGCAAGCGCAAGGTTGTGAGTTCGGTTCCCGGTACCGGAGAAAAAAACAAAAAAACAAAACAAAAAAAAAGTTGTTATCGAGAATGTTCACCTTACAATAAACCATGGAGCTAATATTTGTTCAATGTGGTTTTCCATGTCCTTATTTTATTTTATTTTATAATAAAAAGATTTTTAAAAAGTGTTCAATTTCTGTTAAGCATTTTCTTATCTTTATTTCTCCAATATTCATAATCTTGTCTCTGTAAGCACAACAATGGAATTTGGCCACTGTGTCTTTATTCTTAAACATATATAATTTGAATTAGTGCAAAAGTTTTTATTCGTTTCTATGTCAAGCATGAGTTTCATAGAGATGAATTTCAGTGACTTCCTAAAAGCCAGTCACCTGTGGTTGGAAATTTCGGCTAATAATACAACTATAGGCAATGCCTATCATTGTTTTAAAGTTTGAAAATTGATATTTGTTTAATAAAGATGTGATTGTTTTAAATAAATAGTGTAACTTAATAGAGAAAACAAGAGACTGCATTTGTGTTGCATTACTGTTCTCCTCCTTGAAAGAGAGCCTAATCTTAGAGCTGGAATTACCTTAGAGAAGTAACACATTCGTCTTTTATGGGCAGCTCTTGAGCCCCTGTGCTGTGCCAGCTTCTAAAGCAAAACAAAACAACAAAAAAAAAGAAAGTATAATCCAGTGCAGTGATGGTGAATCATTTAGAGATGAACGCCCAAAAGGCAACCCAAAACCCACTTATTACAAAGTGCCAACACTGCAATTAAAGCTGAATACTGAGGTTTTAGTTTAGAAAAACCCAACTCATACATGGATGTCTTTTGTCTCAAAAGACAAATGTAATAACATGTGCCATAGGTTTGCCACCACTGGGCTAGTGTCTTGCTAAAAAGCTGAGAGTCAGATGTCAAAAGTAGTGCAGACTTATGAAATTCTAACTGATACTGAGCTTCAGCTCTTTCTGGAGC